TTTCTAGTTTGCAGATTCAACTTACATTATAGTCATTATTCTGATTAAACTGAATTAACTGCTTGTATTCCCCAGACAAAGCGTTTTAGCAATGTTCAGTTTATTTAAATTCCACGAGCCGTGAAAATTTCGCTTTTCATCATAATTAATTCGAATGCAAATTAATTTTCCTGGCTGCGTTCTGTAAGCGCTTCTTATATTAAATTTTCTTTCTGTCTAATTCAGCCCTTTAAGCGCCGAAAGGCACCGTATAGAAATGAAAATTATAATTTTTGCGGCTGGAAATGTTTGAGGCTTCAACCGTATTAAATGCTATTGAGTCAAGTGTACAATTATTCAGTGCAAGGAAGTGGAGTTTCCCTCGAGATCTTATACATGGCGGTATTATCAGAATTTCTCATATACGGAACCTCAACTAGTAATCCAAGCGCCGGAGGTCGCGGACAAATTGGTGTTCCAAAGTCAGCTCCAAAGGAAATACATGACCTATAAAGCGACTTTGCAAATAGGCTTAAGGCGCAAATTCGCAACTTTACCTGTATTTTGGATATGCTCTGTTCCCCGCACACGTTTAACAATGAAACTTCTGTTTGCGATTCCACAGCGCACAATATACAAACTTAATGAAGTTCAGAGCTTCTAGAATAAGCTTGGCTACACTTATTTGGCGTTCAATAGACTGGAGTAAAGGAACCTTGTGAAGATCGGTTTTCAGTTACTAAGTGGCAAGTGTTGGCTAAAACAGCAGGATTTTGTGGACTGCAAGTAGTTCTTTGATAATTCATTTCAGTTTATTTGGAGCATTTCTGGATCGGTAGGGCGGCGATACAAAGGAGTTCTGGCAACAAATCTCGAACAAAACCGATGCACAAAGTATTGAAATGAAATCTTCTAAGTTCGGCTTTTTTAGCTTCAGGAACTTCCTCAAAATCCATGTTGATGTTTAATCGCAAATTGCTCCTTTTTGTGTGCAATTCACAGGACAGAGGAATTGGGACAAAGTGTTTAAGGTGATAGCAGATTTCAGTTTTGTGTACTCAAAATCTGTTCTACACATTTTGGATGCTCGTCAACTCCCGAGTAATTCACTAACAGTGTTATTAAGAACGTGAGATTCAAAAATTTGGTACAAACAGTTAAAGAAAAAACCGAGAGAGCAGAGCAATGGGATTTCGTCAGATGCAGAGTGAAAACTCTGTTGCCTCCTTAGTATTTTTTAATTTAAGCAAACCCTAGACGAGCAGGAATATTTTAAAGCAGCAAAATTGGTACAGAAGTAACGAATGTTTCCTGCTTTGGCTGGTCTTCGTGATTTGGCGAAAACAAGCCTCAATTATTGCAGGCGGATTGGATATATGAATTACGCTGCATGTGGCTGTTGTACCTGCAGGGTGAAAAAACTGCTTGAAACTGCGATCGATGCATTCACCTGTCTGGGGTTGTTGAAAGTAACAATACAAACCATGTAACGTATCAAGCGAAATTCGGATCCAGCAATCCGAAACACAGAACATTCCAATTACACCGATTTCGCATTTAAGTGATTGTTATGCAAATGCCGTTCTTGCTTCGGATAGACGTGCCATTCAGCCGAATGAGCAGTTCAATCCAGCTTATTTCAGATAAGTGTCGTTCATATCAGACGACATTTTAATGGAGCTGATGCGAATGGCAAAAAAGCGTCTAGCGAATTTGAAAATTGCAGTATTTACATGACCGCATTTGCCACTCACTTTGCACTTTGCAACACTTTGCAATTGTTTCCAGCTACTAGAATGGACTAGCATGAAATAATATTAAACAAAAGGTCTCACTCCCGTTTGTATCTGTACAATGTCCCTTTTAACATTCATTACGTCTGAACTATCTCGATTCCCTCTGGCTTTTGTAAACTTTGACTGAAATTTTAATTAAACTGCGAGTTTCCATTTGACTGGTTAAATGCAATAAATTTGAATTTGGCTTTGAAAATTATCGCTTTGTCACAAATTTAATTGGTAACACTGCGCTACCTGAAATCTGGCAAAAATTATTCGCTATTGTTCCCAATCGAACATGGAAAAACAGTTTTTCAGTTCCACACTCAAAATGCATCATTAGCAGCCGTTAACAATAATAAATCCAACTTGGAAATTCACCGGTAAGTTCCAACAGTGCAAAGCAACAGAATTAGCTTGATCAGCTCATTTCCAATCGCGTTTATGGCATCGGAATAATCCCCATGTCAGAACCATCCCTCCATTATAAACAATTCAGCAGATCGAATATTGCTGGCGCACAAATGATTAATTATTCGAATTTAGATCCGCAACTGTGCAACACAGTCGACGTGATTCGCTTGTATCAAAGGTAGACTTCCTTTAGGAGATTTGCCGCTAATCTACGATCGAGCTTCCATTTACTTTGAATGTTTGGTTAACAATGTATTTGATAACAGAATACACAAGAGCTTGGCTAGTTTTCACATATTAACCATCAGACTTGATGTGAAGTTTTGCTTGATTGACTTGTTTGATTATTTAGATTTTCAAGCATTTTGGTAATCGTCAAACCTATAAAGAT